CTACCCTGGCTGCCCCTCAGCCGGTGCCCATAGTTCAACATGTAGCAACAACTCTTGAGGTTTCCACCCCACAGTACGTAGCCCAGAGTGACCCCGTAGTCCACCAGGAACCAAGTGTTGCAGTCTTGCCGGTGCCGGCCACAGGTCCAGTGCAAGGACAGAGCTACGGAGTCTGGGATTCCAGCCAGCAGACTGTCACAGTGCAGCCACCGTATTCTCCAGCTCAGTCACAGCCAGCCATTTACTACCAAGGGCAGGCATGTCAGACAGTTTACGGGGTGACGTCGCCATATTCTCAGACCACACCACCAATTGTACAGGTATGTGTCCTGCTAAAATAGCACTGTGAGGACTCCAAGTGACTTGTCAGTTGTAGAGACAGGCCCTTTTGAAGGCTCCATGGGACTTGGAATAGTTGCTTTTGGGACTGCATCTCTCAGAATCCTACAACCAGCATACTTTCTTGCCATGTTGTCTGGGAGGAATTCTAGGAATTGTAACTTTAAAAAAAAATTCCAAACTCTGGATCAGACTGTGGCCTGAATGGCACTGATAGTCCCAATTAGAGTTTTTTGATTAAATCAGTGGACTCTACAAAAGTATTGACTCACCATTCCATTGATTTATGTAATTGGACCACTGATAGGACTCAGACTAATTAATCCTTCTAGTCTAGTGCTGTCCATACAGCTACTCAGAAATCTCTGGCCTGTAGTCTTTTCCCAGGCCTGATGTAATTGGAAATGCCAAATAACTGAATCTGGCACTTTTTTCATGCAAAACATTATTATTTTGAGCACTGCTCCTGCTTTTGAGAGTGGACAGCATTTTTCAAAGGAAGAAATGTCTTGCTTAAGTTCATCCATCCACTGAATAAAATGAGCAATGATGATGAGTTGTTTCTCTCATCCCTTCCTTCCCCCAGCCTTGAGAGGACTCTTGTCACAGGTAGTGCTTCTGGTCTCCCCTCCCTCTTTGTTTTCAGCAAGCAATTGCCCTTTAAAATAAGCCAATGAATTCCCCCAACTGCTCTTGCTTTTCTTCTAGAGTTACGCACAGCCAGGCCTTCAGTATATCCAGGGACAGCAGATTTATACTGCTCATCCTCAGGGTGTTGTGGTGCAGCCCACAACAGCAGTAACCACTATTGTAGCGACAGGACAGCCCCCACCTATACAGCAGGTAAGACTGGGTGTGATGGGAGAGGGTGAGCACTTGTTTCATATTGCCAGAGGTGCGGGAGGCGGGTATCTCTTGAGCAGTTTGGAAGAATCCTTGAAAAAGCCTTTACTTCTACAAGGAAAAAATAATAATTGCTGAGTTGTGACATAATATTGTGCCAGAAGGTAGCCAAGATATCTAGACTGTGCTCACTGAAGCCTTCTTCTGTTTTGTGCATGCCAGAATGAAATCATTTAGTGCAAAGTTATCTTCACACTTGTCATCTGCGCGCCTTAAGAGGTTAGGCTAGTTGTGCACAGATCGAGGCAAAGCTGAAAGCTGTATTTGAAAATAGGATTTCTGGTCATGGAATATTTGAAAGCAATAACCACCATGTTATGATCCTGTTGTGTGTGTGTGTGTTTTCAAAAATGAAAACTTTCTAGGACATTTTACCAAAATTTGAAAAAGACATTATCAGCTTTGGCTTGTGAGTCTGTGTAATCTCATACGTTTTCTAGCGTAATCAGTCAAGTGGCCCTGGGATTGATTTTGTAAAGATAAGGAGACAGCAGACAGTAGATTACAAGCAGTTTTCTTCTTCAGTTGCACTTAGGAAAGAAGATGTTTACAAAAGTCAGAAAAAGTGATTGAATCATTCACATAGTTATAGTGTCCTGAGCAAAAGGCTAATGGGAAAGGCTGCCGACATTTGCTTGCTCACTTTGCTTTAAAAAAATAATCCACTTTTGTCCCTTTGGTGATTTAGCCATCTGCTGCAGCTGTTTAATATATTGCCTGTTTGTTTTGCTTTCTTACCACTTTCAGCCAGAGCTTGTGGTGACCAACAATCTTTTGGACCTGCCGCCACCATCTCCCCCTAAACCCAAAACCATTGTCCTTCCTCCTAATTGGAAGACAGCCCGCGATCCTGAGGGGAAGATCTATTACTATCATGTGGTCACAAGGTAAAGGGCTTCTTTATATACATCCAACAACCATCTTTCCATAAAAGCTTAAATACTTCACATATTTCAAAGGTTGTATCTCTAGCTGGGGAATATAGGGTACATCTGCCTGGTGACCTTGAAGGAGAATGAAGATCTCCAGGTTATGGACCTTTGAAACCTCACAAGACCCATGTTCCCAAGGCTTCATCCTAAGTTGGTTCCTACCTGTTTCCTAGGGGAAGCAACACTGACTTTGAGACCAGTACAGCCTTAATGTTTTGTTCTGATAGTGTTGTTGTTAATAATAATAATAATAATAATTTTTATTTATATCCCGCCCCTCTGCAGAGCAATCGGGGCGGCTTACAATATTACAATTTTCAGTTGTTACTGTTATTGTTATTTTTATCCCATGTTTCCCCCAGTTTGGGTCTCAAGGCAGCTTACAACAGTTAAAACAACCATAGTTGATCACACCATAAAAAAGTTTTAAAAAGCAATGAAGCCTGGTGCACACATGCATACAGAACTTGGAGTGTGGTGGAGTCTCCTTTGGAGGTCTTTAAACAGATGGATGGCCATCTCTCGGGGGTGGTTTGATTTTGAGTTCCTTCATGGCAGGGGGTTGGACTGGATGGTCTTTGTGGTCTCTTCCAACTCGTATGATTCTAATGAAACCATCATAAAATTAAAAGCAAAGCACTACTGTGTTTAAAAAAAGCAACAAATAAAAGTCTGGCACATTATACAAGGCTTAGAATCAGTTCTCAAAGGCCTCTAGAATAAAAATGGTTTTTACCTGCTTGCAGAAAGATAATAAAGAGGGTACCAGTTTAGCCTTTCTGGGAAGGGAGTCCCAGGGTCTGGGGGCAGCCACCAAATGAGGTGAGGGAGGTGGGACAGAAAGAAGTGGCTGGTTCCAGTGGCATTTATTTTAGGCTGGAACTCAGTAGTTTTAAATGATGCTAGTTCAACATAGAAACTTTTTTTGACAGCTGCATTCATCATTTCACAAAAGGCACTTAAATAATGGTCAGCTGAGTTTGTAACCAATTCTCACCAACACTTTTCTTTCAATCCAGTCACTTCTTCCCTCAGGATTGGTACTAATTCCAGTACTTTAAGAGGAATCTGATGTTCAGCTGTCCTGAAGTAGCTTTTGTTGTTCTGGAGAACCATAGCAAGGGTGGGCTGTCGGCTTCCTAGGCCTGCTCTTAAGGCTTCTAGGAGGCATCCATCTTCCACTTTCAGAAACTAGACATTAGGCTTAAATGGCCTTTAGAGATGCCCTTCAGAGTCTTTCCAGACACACGTCTGGACAGCATCTGACGTTTAACTCTTGGTTCCTTGATGCAGCTGGTGCTTAATACACCATCATGGGGCCCTGTTTTTCTTTATAGCTAAAGTGACCTTTCTCATCTGTGACTTGTGATTTTGTTGTTGTTGTTTTTGTAGGCAGACACAGTGGGACCCTCCAAACTGGGACAGCCCAGAAGATGATGCCAGCCTTGAACATGAAGCTGAAATGGACCTTGGAACTCCAACCTACGATGAAAACCCCATGAAGGTAAATTGGCAGGGTTTGCCGATGAATGTTTAACACCACCGTCTCCATGGCGGCAGCCCTTCTCGGTTCTCACTAATCGAGGATGGGACTAGGTTCCTTGCCCAGTGAGTTAACTCCATCAGAAGCTATAAGGCTGGTGTGGTTAGCAGTGCTGCATAAAACCTAGAGAGTGGTTTTTGAATTTGACAGAACATGTTTGTGCTCAGGTGGCAAACCAGAATCAGATTGTGGTTTGAACTATGCAAGCCAATGCTTGCATTAGGTAGGATTTGGTATAAAGGTGTAATTAAGCAATTCTCTTTCTAGCCATTGCTCCCCTTCTTGAATGATTCCTTTGAGTTTACCTCAAAAGATCAGATCACTCAGTAGATGGAAAGTAAAATCAGGAATGAACCTCTGAATCATGGCATCTTTATGCATTTGGAAGCTCAAACCATTGTTTGGCTTCTATAATTCCACTATGTGTAAACTGAGCCTTTATTTTGATCCTTTTCTTTAAGAATTGAGATAATTACAAAGAGAGATAATTATCAGCAAACCATGCATCAGAGAAGGGAATTATATGATTCTCCAAATGTTGTTTGGCTGCACCTCCCTGCAGCCCTGGCCAGTACAGCCCAGTGGCAAAGCATGCTGTAAGTTGCAGTCTAACAGCTTCTGGGGGATCACACAATTCACATGCTGTGCTGGAGATACCAATGGCATAGCAGTGTGGTTTGTAAAATATTTCAGTTAGATTTTAGGCCTACTCTTTCTCTAAACAGAAGGGTTGACATTAGCGATATTCTCCTTATTTCAAAATTTCATTTTCTCTTCTGTAGTTTAAAAAGAACAACTCATTGTTCCTGGACTGTATCAACAAAAACATATATCCTTTTTCATTGCTGTCATTTAGTCATCTCTTGGACACTTGAGATGACCATGCTTGCCAGGGATTGTCTACATGGTTTGAGAGACAGAATTGAGGCAAAAGCCTTAATGAAATGACCGCAGTACAACTTGCTATTTGCAGACTGGAATCTTCATTTTATATTTGTGGGAGAGGTCTTAAAGCAGAGCCAGAATCAATAAAAAGACTTAAAATCACACCATCCTAATCATATTGCACTACCTGTATCTTGATTGGTTGCACTTTGCAGTTTTGACCGCAGTTTGAGAGCAAAGGGATTGGGGGCGGGTTTGAAATTCCCTTTCACCCTTCAGGAATGTTCGTACCTAAAATTACCAGCACTTTGTGGCTGTTTGATTGGGACAGGCAAGATTTAACCTTTTGCGAATGGTGCATAGTTCAGTTTTTAAATCTGGTAGTTCTTACTAGGAAAGCCAGTGTGGCATAATGGTTTTAGTATTGGACCATAGTCTGGAGACAGAAAATTCAATTTCTGGGGTTCAATTCCCCAGCTCAGCCATAAAACCCACTGGGTGACCTTGGGCAAGACACATGCTCTCAGCCTCGGAAAATCAATAGCAAACCTCCTCTGAACAAATCTTGCCAAGAAAACCCCATGATAGGGTCGCTATAAGTCAGAAATTACTTGAAGGCACACAACAACAAAAAATATTCTTATTGTGATAGAACAAAGTTAAATATATTTGATGTATAATTGAATTGTTCAGTTCTTTTAAACATTAGATGTTTTATTGGGTATTGTATTGTATGATTTTTATTAAATGTTTCCTTTAATCTGAGGATTTTTGTTTATAGACTGAAAATAAAGACATAATTGTATAGTTCTGTATTGTGGTAATGGGGTGAAAATAAGAAGAAGAACACGCTTTGCAATGGATTATGCTGCATAATTGTATTCATGATGGCTTGGTGCCAGCAATCCTCTTTTCAGAAATACAATGGGACCAGTGAACAAATTAAGAATGTAGCTTTTCCTTCTGAAAAATTAAAGCATCTTTCTGCCCTTTAAAACTTTTACTAGAGAAAAAGACAAGGAGTGCAGTGTTCCCTTCTCAGATGTCTCCCTCCTCATAGCTGTAGCAAAATGTACTTTTGCTCCAACAATGCTGACCTCCAAATTCATTCCCTACTTGTGTTCAAATTGCCAGGCTTACCAAATTAAGCTTTTTTTCCCTCCCTCTTAGAGAGTGGGAGGCAGGATTTTCTTTCTCAACAACCCATTGATAAACAGAGGCAGTTTGTATCTCTTCTGTATTGTAGTATTTGCTTGAAATAAAGCTTCCATTTTGAGGAATCAATCCAGAGGTTTCAAATCGTAAGGTGTGTTCAGGGATTGGGGCCAGTGAGAACAGAGAATTGCTCTGTTTTGCTTGCTGTCTTGTTTTTGTTGTACCCATGAAGTGATTCAGGCACCTGAAAAAAAAAATTTATATGAGAATACCACGTTTTGATACTGAATTACTGAACTTCTGTTAACTTGTCAGAAAAAAGTATCAGCGCTTGGTATTCTCAAGTTACCTTGCAAATCCTTTTTCTGTTTTTTATACATAAGGCATATGACAAGATGGACTTAAAAAAAATTATACAGGTTGAGTCTCCTTTATCCAGAATTCCAAAATTTTCCAAAATTCAAAATTGCCCACATGGGTGACTGAGCTAGTGACACCTTTGGTTTCTGATGGTTCAGTGTACACAAACTTTGTTTCATGCACAAAATTATTTTAAAACATTGTATACAATTACCACCAGGCTATGTGTATAAGGTTTATGTGAAACATAAATCAATTTTGCATTTAGACTTAGGTCCCATCTCCAGGATATTTCAGGATATGTATGTATATGCAAATACAGATATTCCAAAATCCAAAGCATGTCTGGTCCCAAACATTTCATATAAGGGAGACCCAACCTATATGTGGACTTTTGGAAGCTATTAGTGTTTTCTTTTCGACATTTCAGGCTTGGACATAAAATTATCTGCTATAACACAGCCATTTTTGTGCACACGTAGAATTATCTTGTGCATAGAATTTTCTGCTGTAACACACCCAAGTGTTAAATTGTTTGCTTCTTATAGATAAAAAAGTATTGAACAAAACTTGTATTTCATTCTCATTTTTTTAAGTCAACATTTACATAAATAACTTCTGTATTTCTTTCTTTTCTTAGTCTTCCAAAAAAACCAAAACTGCAGAAGCAGATACTTCTAGCGAACTGGCAAAGAAGAGCAAGGAAGTATTCCGGAAGGAGGTGAGGCTATGCAAAACTTTGGGTTTGGGCAAGTTCCATTGCTGCTGCTTTGGTGCTGGCATGTTGGTCCAGATCATATAATTCCTTCCCATTCCTTTTAATTAGCCCACAGAGGGTGCTTGACAATGATCCAGAGAAAAACTAACATTCTTGTGGCAGCTAATGACTTCAGCAAAAACAGTTCTCCAAATGAAATTTTGAACATTCTTGCTTAACTTGTTTAACTTCTCTCCCCTACCATGCCACCCCAATCCCTTCTTTTCTTCTTCCTCTTCTTCTTCTTCACTTTCTTGGCTCCCAACCCATCTTCTCTCACTACTTTAGGGAGAAATTGTCAGTTTATAAATCTTATCTCCCATTTTTCTTCAGATGTCTCAATTCATTGTACAATGCCTGAACCCCTATCGCAAGCCAGATTGCAAAGTTGGACGGATAACCACAACTGAAGACTTCAAGCACCTTGCACGAAAGGTATCAAAGTATATTTAAAGGGGAGATGACAGTGATAGCTGCTGAGACCATGCCTGGAAATAAGCCTTAAGACCCCCAAAGCTTAGAAGCACCCAAACCTTTCTCCAACTCAGATCCCTTCCCTTCTTCCTCTTTCCTCGCTGGTGGAAAGAGAGCAAAGAGGAGACCAACCTAGTCTCCTGTGGGAAGGAATTTCATAGCCTGGGGATAGACACTAAGAAGGCTTAAAAACAAACAAACACCAAAACTCTTTTTTAAAGAAATTCAGTAAAAATGTGGCAAAGATGCTGCAGGAAGGTTTGAAGAGCAGGAAAGTCTCAGAAGAACAGAAGCATCTTTGCCAGCTGATAAAAACCTAAATAAAGAGAAATGGTTGGTAGATACCTCTGAAGCATAAATTTTGTAGCAGGGCCAGGAAACTTAACAGCACTCCAAGTTTTCGGCTTCATTTCCTATCAGTTCTAGTCATAATAGCCAAGAGTCAAGGATTACAAAAGTTACAGTTCAGCAATACCTTGAGCTAAGTTCTCTACCCTTTTTCTACAGGATACACACCCTTACAGAAAAGACCCTGTTTTATGTCCAGGGTGCATCTACACTGTACATGTAATGCAGTTTGACACCATTTTAAGTGGTTTGTAGTTTTACAAGGCCTTTAGCTTTCTCTGCAAAAGAGTGCTGGTGCCTCTCAAAACTACAAATCCCAGGATTCTGTTGGATGGAGCCATAGTAGTTGTGTCAAACTGCATTATTTCTATAGTGTACATGCACCCTCAGTTAGTAATGTGACAAGAGTCCATCAAACAGTGCAATGAAAAGAATCCCAAACCTCACCTACACTGGGACAAGAGAGGTATCCTTACCCCTCTTGTCCCAGAGATGAGCAATTTAAGGATCCCTTCTATCTCTGAAAGCACTGAGACACAGTGTCTTTCATTCTTGCTCAACCTTATTTTGAGTTGTGCATGGGTTTCCCAAGGTGTGACACTGAATTCTCTTATGTCAAGTGTACGCAATACATAAAGACATCTTGGAGGAAATGATGGCAGGTGGCCTTCTGGCTGAGATCTCAATATGTAGCTCAGTTGTCTCTCTGTGTGTGAATCTTGAGAATGAAGAAAAATGCAGTGGTTAGGTAGGTCCAGTTAGCTGTTTCTGGTGCCCAGATGTCCAGGCGAGATTCTGCTAAATGCAGCTAGTAAAGCTTTTTGAAATTAGTCATCTAAGTGTTTATACCAAAATGATTGGTACCAGAAGTATTTTGAATTTTGAAGTTTTTTGGATTTTGGAATATTTGCATATACATAATGAGATATCTTGGAGATGGGGCCCAAGTCTAAACATGAAATTCATTTATGTTTCCTATATACCTTAGGCACATAGTCTGAAGGTAATTTTATACACAGTTTTTGAAATAAATTTTGTGCATGAAACAGTTTGTGAACATCGAACTATCAGAAAGCAAAGGTGTCACTGTCTCAGCCACCCATGTGGATGATTTTGGAATACTTTGGAATTCCGGATACTCAACCTGTACCACACTTGTTTGACGTTTGCTCAGTTTGAGACATCTCTGCCCCCTACTTCTCTTTGCCTCTAAGTAAAGAAAAGTAGCAATAGAATTTACTGCAGGGAGATCCTGCTAAGATGCATGAATGGAAGAAGGAATGGTTAAATTCCCATCTTCTCATCCAAACTAATAAAGTTTCCATGTCAGAGCCTCAGCAGATCCTGCACAGAAGATTAGTTTGTTATACATACAGGTGTCTTCATCTTCTTTTTAATCTCACTCAGCATTTTAGTCTCATTTTCCCCGATGAGAAAGAATTGGCCAACTTGTGATCTGCTTTTCTCCTGAACCTTGCAGGCATACGAGGGCACAGAACGGCAGAACCATCCTTTGAATAATGAGCCGTACCTTGTCTCTACTTCCTTTCTCATCACACACAGCTTCTTTCCTTTTGACCACAGTACCTTCCTGTCTTGTAATCTAGTCTTTGTGTTATTTTCTCCTCTCCTCCCGCAGCTAACCCATGGAGTGATGAACAAGGAGTTGAAATACTGCAAGACTCCTGAAGATCTGGAGTGCAATGAGAATGTGAAACACAAGACAAAGGAGTACATCAAGAAATACATGCAGAAATTTGGGGCTGTTTATAAGCCCAAAGAGGATACTGACTTGGAGTAGTGACTGCAGGAAACAGTCCTTCGTTATTATTATTTTCTTGGAGCCAGCCTACCATGGATGCTTTTTTCTACACAGTATTTCTGGCTGCATGGGGGTTGCCATTTGAGTAAAATGACCCCACCAATCTTGTGGCATACATGCCCATCTCTACAGGCCAGGTTTTCAGAGACCAGGCCAAGACAGGAGGGAGAAAAAAAGAAACTCACACCCCCCCCACCTGGCTGTGACCCATCAGCATCACACCTTGACCCCTGTTTGCAAGAAAACCCCATACTCCCAATCTGGCGGTGCTCAGTTTGTCTCCTGTTCAAGATCTGTATGATATTTTAACGTATATGTGAATATATTGAGGATTTTCTTTTCTTTTTTTCCCTCCTTTTAGCCCAACGTGTTGATATCATGGGAACACTTTGTAAGAATAGTTCTGAGGGTTTTTTCATTTCCTTCTTCTTTTTTGTTCTGTTTTTGGTTTTCTTAAGGTTTTTTGTTGGTTCTTTGCAAAGTTTCATCTGTCATCATGTAAATATTTGCGAACAGGCTGCCTCAGGGTTTCTGGCAGACCATGTGCTATGTTGATAAGATTGATTTTA